CGAAAAAAATGTTCTTTCGTGGTGCAAAATATCTTTGATGTTATACTCAACCCTGTAAAAGTGCATGTTTTCCCTACTTATCCTTGTCAGGCTCATGCATTGCATTATATTGTCGTTTTAAGCAACATTCTGCTTTTTAGGGCAACCATCTCCCCTGAAAAAACTTCAAATGGCAGAGGATGAGCTTTTTTTGCCTTATTGGAGTGCAATATTGTATGAAACGAACACAGAATTTTCCTCTTCAATTAACTCTTCAGAAGAATTGGTGTCGCTGTATGGGATGGTGCGCCTTTAGTCAAGCTCTGCAACAACCAAGTAGTTTAACATTATAAACATTTATTATATTTTTATCCTTTTGATTAAAAATCTCAATGTACCACAAATATATGTATATACAAATTGAAGAGTCTTTACGCCAAAAAGGAGCGAACAAACTCAGAGTTGCTATCAATTCATTTAGAGTTAGCGGAGCGCATACCAGTCGACTGTTTAATGGAGCTTTTTGATCAAATGAAAACACGCATAGGAAATGCCATGGAGAAGAAGTACATGAATGTGAAAGGGAAACTCGAAAAGTTACAAACGAATCAAAAAGGAGTGAATAACCAACAGAGGGAGAAACATGTTCGTCAATCTTACAGAAGTTCCCATCAAAAAAGAAGAAGCGCACATTTTAGAAAAAGGATTTAAACATAATATCCAGAATTATAATAAGAAAGAGGAGATCGAGCAGACAATTATAGATATGGAAATGTATATCTTTGTTGCAGAAAGAGGAACATGAACTCACTAGACTAGGGCTGCCAGACGTCCTTGTTTTCCAGGATTTTTCCTGATTTAAACAAATTGTACTGGTGTCCTGGTCCACACTTAAATTGTCCTGGATTCTTAATGTAGGTCAACGAAGACACCCAACTAATTTTTAGCATATTTTTGCTCTGAAAAAAGGTAAAGCTTTTTGTCATTAGTAACATGTTGAGCACTATTTGGTGAGTTTATCTTTTTTCTGTTTAGTTTATTCGGTTAAAATCTAATTTTGCACCTTCCGGCAAATGCCAAAAAAGTGCAAGTTTCTAAACAGGTACACGACTGGAGGGTAACACATAATACGCCGTAGATAATTTCAGGAGCTAAAATCTCTTCCGAAAGGCATTTCTGAAAGTTATTTCTTTCTACTTCTTTTTTTGTACGGTGTGGCACAAATTGAACTGCTTTTTTATAAATTGTTGTTGCTTTGCTAGCCGGCAATTACAAGTACCTGATGAAGATCTTGCAGAAGCGATGAGCTTAGCCGACGACGCTTTAAAGGAATTTGAAGAAATGCGACAAGATGCAGAAAAAACTTTCATTTGCTTTTCGAACACGTAGAAGAAGTATGCACCAACCTAGGTACAGAAATCAAAGTACCGCGATACAGCAGTCGCCAAAAGAATTGCTTTAATGTGAAAACCGGAGACGCCGAGGCATACTATCGCATTGCTTTTTACATTCCCTTCCTTGATACATATATTGCTCATTTGAAAAGCCGGTTCCTAAACCATAAATCAGTTTTAAATAATTTTAGTGTTTTGTTTCCAAAGTATGATTTTAACGGAAAAAAAACTGAAGAATTGTTTGCTTTCTGTGAAAAAGTAATCGACTGCTCGAAACAAAACTTTCTTCTGGAGGTAAAAATGTGGGAAAACGAGTTTCACACGAACATATTCGAAATGCTCTCGAAGCATTACAAGTAGCTAATAGAACGTCTTTTGGGAATGTTTTTAAGATCTTACGTATATTGGCACTTTTGCCCGTTTCAATAGCCACACCTGAACGAAGCTTTTCATGCCTGAAAAGAATTAAAACCTACTTGAGAAACACAACATGTCAAGAAAGGCTCAATGGTTTAGCATCTATGAATATTCACAAAGATATAAATTTTTCAGTTGACGAAGTTCTAGAAGAATTTTTCAAAAAACCACGAAAAATTTGAAAATTCTTCGTTTCATTGATTTATAGGTAAAAAGAAAAATTTAATGTGTTTAAAGTTATCAAAATGATTTATTAATAAAGCGAAAAATTTAATATATGATTTTAAAAATTCGTGTTTTGAAACTTTATTACGCATACTTTCTTCTAAAGAACCTTTTTTCTAGACCCATATTAGTGAAATATTATTCTTTGACTTGAGGGGGTTTAACCGGATTTATTGTTAATTGGCTGGGCAAAGTAAAATAAGAATGAAAGTTAAAGGTTGTAAATGAAGGAAAAAAGTTTGGGATTTGTTTTTGTGTAGCAAAACTGTAATCAAAAGATGTAAGAAATGTCAACGAAAACTCTAACAACCGGTGTGAACAGCATTCGGCCCACATGCCCAAAACTCTTTTTAAAAGTGTTTTCGTTGTCGGTCAGAACATGGTATAAAGTGAGACACAACTAAAGACCATTTGGTCAACATTTTTGTCGTTAACGTTACAGTCGCACATATATTTCTGAAACGTTGTACAAAAACCGAAAGGTTTTCATTTATTCTGATAACCAACCTCAAAAGCTACACTTTATAAACAGACACTTGTTTCCTATCTTATGTTGTTTTAAAGATAAATACGGTTTTAAGTGGTCTTTAACGTAACATTTTTTGGAAGTCAGTTATATATAGCGTCACTCATACGGAAAACTTGGCGATTCCTATAAAGTTAATAATTAAACTAAAGTATTTTAGTAATGATCAAGGATCAAAGAAACTATAAAAATATTAAATTTTGGAAAATACACGTTGATGACAAATCTATAAACCGAAATCAATTTGATCGAATGCGAGACACAAGAGAAATGAACACGCGCCGCACACATTGGTTGTCAATCGTCACTTGTTTCTATATACTTTAGATGTACATATATGTGGTCATAAGCAATAACCGCCTAAGTCGACTTAAGAAAGAATTGAGTTATATATGCTATAGTTTTCTGCAACTACTATTCCATGTGTACGTGAAACTGCCATCTTGTAACCTAGGCTATTTAAAAAGTTATAGATTAAAATATTTTGGTTTCCCATAAGGTTAACAACATTACAATCGAAATCTTTGAAGCGTTTTTTCTTGAATTCAGGTTCTTCGAATTAGGCGTGTCGGAGACATGAGCGCAGATCTCACCGATCGTTAATTACTTTTGTTCTTTATGCAATGGGTCTTAAACCATGTATATGAAAACTTTGAAATGTAAACCCATTGTAACTTTCGAAATTTGAACCTACTCATTATAACTTAATCTATTGTAACGTAATGGTTTTTGCTTATTATATACTGCGGTACGGGGTGGCCTAAGGCGGGTTTGCAAGAGTATTATTCATTCGCTTTCGAACCGCCGAAGAGACCGCCTCGTTTATTTTGGGACGTTTTTCACGCCAATGGCACACACGTACTCGCAAAGTAGTTTGAATTTACCTTGAATTACCAATTGAATTTATCTAATAAACCTTGTAAAGTTATTGCATTCCACAAAGGAAACATTTTTGTGTAATCCGTTAATTAACTTTGCACACCACTACTTCAGGCTAGCTCTGAACATGGTCCTATCGATCAGTGTTGCCACAAAATCTTTTTATTTTTTACCAAAATCACCGGAAAAAGTTACCAAATTCAACAAAAAATTACCAAACTTATTTTATATGCAGAACTGTACAAACATACATATCGATGCCTTTCTGCACCAAAAAGAAAATTTCTAAAAAAATTTCGCTTACGTTATTTTGGCAGTTAGGGCTCGATATGTCTGTACATATGTATATCCGAAGATACCAAGCTTTTCAGGCAATAAGCGCCCCATTAACTTAAAATTTTTATGAGGGTTTGTTGAATTTTTAAAATATTGAACAAAGTTTGAAATTAGAATTTTTTGGAGTTCTGTTAAAGAAAGAAAAATATTTTTATATTATATTTTTATAACCAAAATAAAATTACAAAAAAATAACATGTTAAAATTATCAAAATATGGTGCGGTTATAATTTTTCGACCACTGTATGTAAACAAGTGACAAGAAAATATATCAAAAATTCAACGCTTGAAGCTTTCGACTCACACATAGACAGAGTGAAGCCCCCCGCTGAATGCCTCAGGTTTTTGAACGAGAACACACATATTTACATAGAATTCTACTCATATATATGGTTGCCGGGTACACCGGAAAATTGATGGTAATTGAAAAGCTGTCGAACTGACGGGGAAAGGTAGGACCACCCAAAAACCTTCCAGGAAAGGACACGGTGGATATACTTAGCAATAGCCACATTCACGCGGTTTGTTAAAGAATACACCATTCTAGTAGCCAAGGAACGCTGGAACATCTTTCGCCTTGCGAAACTTTCAGGATGACCTGGTATTTCTATAAAAGGAAACGCTTACGGGCCATTTAATAATGTGGAATCAGAACCAATATTGACCTATTTGACATGTAAGACCTAATCGAAAAAGTTACCAAATTGAAAAATAAATTGCCAAATTACCAAACTTTATAAATAAAGAAAAAAATTACCAATTTTGGTTAAAAATTACCAAAGCGGTAACGCTGCTATCGATCCGCAAAAGGATTGGCAACCCCGAAAAAAAGTGTTTGCGCGCACTGAGCACACCCCTCGCTAACTACTACTTCAAACTTTTCGCTCAAATCAGTTGAGTTTAAAACGTTGAATAAGCAAGGCGGTCAGCGGTCGCGTTCGGGCGTATATTTACAAGCGGTTGAAAGAGTGAAAAAAATAAAACTTCTAACTAAGTGCTCAAAGTGGCAGCAGCGACATTAGTAGCAGTCGGAAAAAAACTATTAACACAAAGAAAAAAACAAAACTTCTAACTAAAGGCGAAAAACTGCTTACAGTGCCAGCAGCTACATTAGCAGCGAAACCTGCGCCTCAACCCCACATAAAAAAAAAAATAATAATAATAAATAGCGGTGAGTTACAAAAAAGTGAACAAATAAAAACTACCAAATACATATAAACGTCGTCCGAAACGCAAAACAAAAAAAAAAACACAATATAAACTAAAAACTCTAAACAAAATCTAAAAATAACGGTGAGAGCAGCATATCTGCGCCACACAAAAAACCACATCCCCGCTATACCCAGACGAGAAAAGGAAGTTAAAGCAGGATCGGTGCCTCCACCCTAGTGCCGAAATACGCAAGCAGCAGGGTCCCGCAGGCAGCATCGCTCACACCAGTCACAGGAAATCAGCGGAGGAGGGTACAGGCGACAAAAAAAAAACACACAGGTGGTACAAAATCAGGAATGCCAAAGTAAGTCTGACCAACATTTAATAATACTCATCCATATAGCACATTAGCGGATTTTTCATGCCATTATCAAACAGTTTAAATTATTCGTTTACCAACGGTACAGGATTTACCGTTTTTCTCTAATATACATGGAAACCGCTATTTGTCACCCACAGTTTGATAAAATCCGCTCTAGTGTACTCTCACATATATACATATATAAAACAAACTTACATGTTACATACATACGTGCATAAATACTTCCCGCTCAATATCTTCATTCTCACTGGGTAAGCATATCTCGAAACTTCCTGTTAGGGCAGCGTAAAAATTCCCCGCTATTGCACATTTGTAATACGCGTATATGTATGTACACATAATCAGCTCTCACCTAGCTCCCTTTTGCAAAATCGTGAGTTCAAACGTATTTATATACATACTAGCTTATACCCGCGGGTTTCACCCCACGCTTTTATACAAATATGAAAAATAATTTAATGATGTTAGATTTTATTTCTGGGCCCATTTCGTTATAGCTCGTTATTTTTTAAGCGAGCTAAGGTATTTAGGCCGTTTAAAGCTATGAAATTACAAAATCTCGTCTGCGCGCTAGACATACGAAAGATATCAATCCCTCTATGTTTACCTTAAAATGTTTCCAGGTATACGACGCGTGAACGTGTAACCTTCTTGGAGGTGCCACGGCGAGTTCTAATATTTCCAACACAAATTTAGTAACCTGGCCTTGATAAAATACCACTTCTCATTACTGTAGCAAATGCCTCAAGAGAGCTTTAGATTATAAGGCCGAACCCGGCTCTCCCTTTTCCATTTAATGAAATTTATTCTGTCAGTACGGCACTTATAAAATAAATCTCCATAACAAATTTAAAATACTTCGAGAGATTTTCTATCCTTCCAGAGATATGTATTAAGAAGTTTTTAGTATGTATGGGAGGCGACATGCCTCCTTTTTTAATAACTCAAATTTTTTCCATGAGCAATTGACACATATTGTATACACAACTCCATACCAAGTTCCAGTATTCTTCCACAAAAGCTTTCAGGGATATGAGGCAAGAAAAAGTAAATTTGTACTGGAAGTGCCACGCCCCTTTTTCTTATAACCCTAATCTTCTTCCATGAATTTAGAATTGATTTTACATACCCCAGTACCAAGTCCCAGTACTCTACCATGAACACCTCTAGAGACGAACAGTATAAAACAGTAAATTTGTACGAGAGGAACCATGTCCCCTTTTTGAATAACGCAAATTTTTCTCCATGAGCATGGAATTAATTTTGTATATGTACACATCTCGGTGCCATGTTCCAGTCCTCTGCAATAAACACCTCCAGAGATATGCAGCATAGAAAAATCAATTTGCATGGGAGTTGCCACACCACCTTTTCCAATAACTCTCATTTTTCTCCATGAGTATGGTATTAGTTTCACATACGTACATACATATGTATTTCCATACCAAGCTTGAGTGCTTTACCCCAAACATTTGAAGAGATATGCAATATGAAACTTTCAGTCAGTATGGGAGGTGCTACGCCTCTTTTCCAAAAACGTCCATTTCCAAAAACGTCCATTTTCTCCATTTCACACAGTGTTGGCAAACTGTTAATCTGATTAACGATTAAAATGTTAATCGCGTTTGACGATTAAAATTAATTAGTCGTAATCAACTGTACGATTAATGATAACATTTTTTTAATCGTTAATCGCTGGCTGCGATTACGTTTAATTAATTTAAAACATTAATCGTTAATCCAATTAAAAATAAAATCTGATTAATTTGTCTAGTTTGTCCGAGTTTGAAACCAAACACCAGTTATAGTAATTATTTTGTGTTTTACGCTTATAAAAAGCACATAATATAAAAAAATTATAATTATTGTTATTAGTAATACATAAACTGGGAACTTTTACAAACCTAGTTTGTAAAACGTTTGTTGGTATATATCTTAATGAAAATGCACACCAAATTGCTTAGATTGATGAGGAAACCCGACTTAGCCATACCGGATTAACTTGCTTTGTGTGCACAGGGAAATTCCAGCATAACTTAATTAATCACCAAACCTACTTGATCAAATTAAGAGTTAATGATTAAAAATTAATTTTTTAATCGCGGTTACGATTAACTGTTTAGTCGGATTAAAATTAATCATGATTAACTGTAATCAGATTGAATTTAATCGAATTAACTAACTAATTAAAACATCAATCGATTAATGCCAACATTGATTTCACATACATATCACTATACCAAGTTTCAGTTCTCTCCCACAAATACTTCCAGAGATATGTATGTAATATGAAAATTCCAATTTGTATGGGAGGGGCCTTGAGTTATCGGACTTACTTTCAGTCTAAGACCATCCTTCCGAAATCCGTAGTCAGTGTACTAAATTTCGTCCTGATCGGAAACCCGGTTAAGGAAGTAGCCTATTTTTCAATCCAGGTCATAAACCATCTTTGAGCAAAATTTCATTTTCAAACAGGTGGCAATTCTTAAAAAAGTAGCCTATTTTCCAGTCTAGGTCATAAGCTATCTGTGTGCAAACTTTCATGCAAATCAGTTCAGTCATTTACNGGAAAACCGGTTAAGGAAGTAGCCTATTTTTCAATCCAGGTCATAAACCATCTTTGAGCAAAATTTCATTTTCAAACAGGTGGCAATTCTTAAAAAAGTAGCCTACTTTCCAATCTAGGTCATAAGCTATCTGTATGGAAACTTTCATGCAAATCAGTTAAGTAATTTACGCGTATTAATTTAGTTAAACTTTTCTAATACGTGACAGCTCTTAAAATAGTAGCCTATTTCCCAACATAGGTCATAAGCTATCTCTGTGCGAAATGTCATGCAAATCTGTTCAGTCCTTTCCGCGTATTAATTTAATTAAAACTTTTTTAACAGGTGGCAACTCTTCCAAAAAATTAGCCTATTTTCCACTGTAGGTCATTAGCTATCTGCCTGCAAAATTTCAGGCAAATCCATTCAGTCGGTTCCGCGTACTAATTTAATGAAACTTTTTTAACAGGTGGCAACTCTTAAGAAAAGTAGCCTATTTTCCAACCTAGGTCATAAGCTATCTGTGTGCAAATTTTCATGCAAATCCATTCAGTCGTTCCCACATATTAAATAAATTAAACTTTTTTAACAGGTGGCAACTCTTAAAAAAAGCAGCCTATTAACCAATCTGACCCTTAGGCTATCTGCCTACAAAATTTCATACAAATCCGTTCAGTCGTTTCCGCGTGATGATTGCCCAAACATCCAAACATACAAACTTTGACATTTATAATATTAGTAAGAGTAAGATATACATAAAACCGCTAACTTAAAAAAGTACATGCGAAGAGTTATATGTACATACGTATATGTACATGTAAACATACACCTTTTGCATCTTTGGTCAGAACCTTTTCCCGCCTCTTTATCGCCAGCAATTATTTTACTTATACATTTGTATAGACAAATCCCATTTACATTAGTATATGCAACTTGTGCTCATCGCAATACTTAAAAACAAAAAAACTTAACAAATAAATTCAGAAAATTCCAATTCTACAAATAAGAGCCACCCTATTAATCAAACGTCCATTTGTACGCATATCTACATATGCTAACATAAGATAAACCCTGCCCTCAAAAAGCGAGCAACTCATCTCTTAATAATATAATTATAGATTGGCGCTTACACATATGTTAGTGTTTGGCCGAGTCTCCTCTGGTCAAAGCAACATCGCAAAAAATATAGAAAAAAGGTTTTTTCTTAACAGCGGTCGTCCCTCGGCAGGCAATGGCAAACCTCCGAGTATATTTCTGCCATGAAAAACAGCTTCTCATAAAAATTCCATCGCCGTTCGGAGTCGGCGTAAAACTGTACGTCCCTCCGCTTTGTGTGACAACATCAAGGCGCACGCCACAAATCGGAGGAGAAGCTCGGCCAAACTCATCTTTTAGGAAGACGCAAAAGAACACACATACGTACATATATATATCGCAGGATAGGATATATATATATATATATAAAAAAGTGTACATGTACGTATGTACATACACATATTCACAGTCGCAGATAATTAGCGCTGATCGACCGGGGGTGAAAAACAACACCACTTTGCTTCGTTCTGGAAGCAAAATATTTATTAACGCTGGAATACATATATACATACATACATACATGCATACATACTGTTACTGTACTCAGACAGCACAGTAGGACAAGCGCGCAAATACCTCGCATACAATACAGTGGGTCAAAACTCAGCAAATATTAAAATTTTAGTATAAATTATTGATTTAAAATCCCTAATACTACAACGCAATGACTGACGAAAAACAAGATAGACCAACAGGTCTACAGGCCCCACAGGGCATAAGAACACGGTCGAGATCCCAAGCCGAGGAAGAGGAACTGATCCACATTCACAAAAAGTTCCTCTTTGAAGTCTCAAAACTTGAAAAATTCTGCACAAGGTGGTGGAATGTCCGCGAAAGTGACCACACGGAAGCAGGTCTGAAGACGTATCGGGGAGAACTGGATAAACTTGTGGACATAGTGAACCAGGCAAACGAAGCAGCGCAATTAAGTGGAATAGATGAGAAAACAAGAATAGCATGCGAAGCGAAGTATGACACCTGCATCGACTCGTCCATGAGCACCAGATTGCGGATAAATGAACTAATTAGCAATCTTTCAACAGAATCAGCCAGTGGAAACAACCCACCAGATCCAGAATCGCGGATGTCGACCGCTCCCCAGAATTACCTCAAGGTGCCTGCATGCGACACCGAAATCTTCTATGGAAGATTCGAAGATTGGCCATCGTTCCGGGACTTATTTACAGCGATATACATAGCACACCCAAAATTGTCTCAAGCTCAGAAACTCTACCACCTTAGACAAAAAACTCGCGGGAAGGCAGCCCTTATTATAAAAAATTACGCGTTAAACGACCAAAACTTTGAATTGGCGTGGGACGCATTAAAATCACGTTACGAGAATCGCAGGATTCTCGTTGATATCCAAATTAAAACTCTATTTAGCATCCAACCCCTAAATTCGGAAAATGGTGAAAAGATCCAAGAGATCCAAACCATTATTAACAATTGCCTCTCAGTATTGAATGCAAACGGCGTTGCCACAGAAAGTTGGGACCCGATGTTAATATACCTCTGTTCCTCAAAGCTCCTAGACGAAACACTCAGCAATCTCTAGACCCCAGAAAAGAACTGCCTCTTTGGTCAGAAATGGACAAATTTTTGGCATACCTGGTATGAAGTTGTAGAGCGGCTTGGTACGTACAGGCCGAATAAACCTAACCATAAGCCCATTCAGAATCACACTCCCAGGTCGTCAACTCCCGCTAATCACTCCTTCGGCTACAAGAACAAAACCCGTGCATTCCATACGCAGTAAATGAGGCAGGTATCTTGTAGGCTCTGTAACTCAAACCACTCGATGATGAGCTGCGTCAAATTTAGGGAACTCTCCGTCCAAGATCGTAATAAGTTTATTAAGGACAACAATTATTGTAGGAACTGTCTGGCATTCTCGCATACAGAAGGTGAATGCGGAAGTAACTTCACATGCGTGTATTGCCAGAAACGCCACCATTCACTCCTACATTATGAGTCTAAGCCACAATCATCAAATTCTGGTGCTCGGCAAAGGATAAGCCAGGCATAGGCGTCGCCTCAAGCGAATTGCGACCCTGACAAACACTCAACCTCCATGCAAACCCCAAAAAACGCAGGCCCCTCGAGAACACAAGCCAAAATGACAAGGTATTTTCACATTTTGCTAGTAGTAGGGCGAAAACTTTGCTCCCCACCGCAATTGTACCCGTTTTACATCAAGGTGAAACGTTTCCAGTTCGAGCGTTAATAGATAAAGGATCCCAAAAAACCTTTGTATCGTCCCGCATCCAAAAGCTGCTGGGTCTACCATCAAACAACACAAAATATGAGATTTTGGGTATGGGTGAACGGGTAGTCCAAAACGCTAACAAAACCTGCACGATGACAATTTGCTCACCGGACTTGCAGGTACAAATCGCAACTCAAGCGATAATAACAAGGTTACCCTATTATTGCCCTTATTCAAGGTGACCTGTACAGACCTAAAAGAGTACTCCTCGCTCAATTTGGCAGATCCAAATTGTTTTGCACTGGCCCGCATAGATATGGTGATAGGAAGCGATTTGATACCCAAAATATTCATCCAAGGACTACAAAGTTATGTCGCTGGAAGCTTAATAGCTCAAAATACAATCTTTGGGTGGATATTAAGCGGACCTGTGGTCGAACAAATCGCTACGTTCTCTACTCAGGTATCAGAAACTCCAGATGATTCCCTCAACGAACTCTTATAAAAGTTTTGGGAACAGGAAGAAGTCATTCAAGCCCTCACTTTGACAGAGGAGAATAAGTACTGCGAAGAACTATACAAGAGAACCACCACCCGGAGAGAAGATGGACGCTACGAAGTCAAGCTATGGTAGCTTAAGGATTTCCCGCAAAATATAGCCTTAGGTCATACTCGGTTGGCAGCACAACAACAGTATATCAGCATGGACCAGAGTTAAGAACCCAGTACTCAAACGACTTGGAAGATTATGTGACTATGGATCACATGACACGAACTTCACCCCTAGAAATTATTAAAAACGGAATATACTTCTCATTCTATTTGCCCCACCATGCTGTCTTAAAACCCGACAGCAAGTCGACAAAGGTGCGAGTGGTCTTCAACGCCTCTAAAATATCGCACTCCGGGAATTCACTAAACGACGTACTCCACACAGGTCCCACTCTACAGAACGATTTAATGGTAATAATTCTCCAATTTCGACTCTATAAGTTCGTTTTTAATGGCGACATTGAGAAAATGTACCGCCAAATCCTCGTCTCTAAGGAAGACCAAGACTTTCAACGGCTCCTCTTTCACAGATCTCCACAGTCGCCACTCGAAGACTTTAAATTAAAAGTGGTGACCGTCGGCGTGAACTGCGCACCGTACTTAGCCATCAGAACGTTGCAGCAATTAGCCGAAGACTGTAAAAGTGAATTTCTTCTCTCTTACAACGCCTTGTTACCAGAAACATATGTAGATGATATTCTGTCAGGCGGCCACGACATACAATCCACCCACGAAAAAATGACCCAAGTAATCGAAGCGCTTAAGTCCGCAGGTTTCCCGCTGAAAAAAATAACAGCTAACCATCCCAAAATATTGGAATCAATTCCCGATTCGGAGCTTCTTCACGCGGACTTCCTCAAATTCCAAGACACTAGCTCCACAAAGACGCTTGGAATAAGGTGGAACGCCCTGACAGATTCATTTTCGTATACGTATGACCCCAGATCCGACACAAACTCAACGACCAAACGACAAATATTATCGGCGGTAGCGAAATTGTTCGACCCGACAGGGTGGCTATCGCCCATAATGATACTAGCCAAAATTCTTCTCCAACAACTCTGGATGGAGGGAACGGACTGGGACGAACATGTAAAACCTGTATCATTCAACAAATGGAACGCCTTTCGCGAAGCTCCCTTAGCAATTAGTGAGATAAGCATCCCCCGGTGAGTACGATTCTCGCCCGCGAAGGCCATTCAATTACATTGATTTTCGAATTCAACATAGCGAAACCTCCTTTTCGTCATACTTGCTTGCCGCAAAAAGCAAAGTCGCTCCACTACAAACTGTCAGCCTCCCTCGTGTAGAACTTTGTGGAGCAGTCTTGCTCTCCAAACTCGTGAAACAACTGCGCGCCTAACTGGACCACCCCACGAACTAACCCTTTGATCAGATTCTTCCATAGTACTGGCGTGGTTAGAAAAGCCGCCGCACACGTGGAAGACATACGTAGCCAACCGAATTTCTCAAATACTTCAGAATGTCAGCAATGCCAAGTGGAGACATGTTTCAAGCGCAAACAACCCTGCAAATTTAGGAACCCGCGGATGTCGACCGCAAAATTTAGTAGGCTGCTCATTGTGGTGGAACGGCCCGGAATGGCTGCCTCAGCCCTCCAAGTAGAAATGTACTACACTGCGGAAAATGACGATCTCCTCGAACGGTTCTCCTCATATTCAAGAGCACTTCGAGTTCTTGCATTCATGCTACGATTTATTAATAAATCTCGTAAACAGCCAATTCCTTCCACCCTCATTTTAACGCAGGAAGAGATAAATATGGCTAAAGTTCGTCTCATCAAGAATGCTCAATACAAGTACTATGGAGAAACCATCGCCACATTGAAGGCCGCGAAACCCATCAGTAAAAAGAGTTCTTTACTTTCTCTCAACCCGATCTTAGACAAAGCAGGCGTGATGCGAGTGAATGGCCGTCTCGCGTATGCTGCACTCAGCTACAGAACGGCATCCTATCATAATCCCAGACAACTCTAGATTGTGCTCTCTTTTGCTTGATTTCATTCACCAAACATTCCTTCATGCCGAAAAGCAACTTATGATTCGTATAGTCCAACAGGAGTTTTATATCCCACGTTTAAGGCAAAAGGTCAAAAATGCATTTTTCACTGTAAAACGTGTACGATTTACAAACAACAAAGGAAATCTCAGATAATGGTCGCCCTGCCTCCAGAACGCTCAACATACTCTCTACCGTTTCATACCACTGGTCTTTACTTCGCTGGCCCGTTTATGGTGAAAACGTCGGTCCTGCGAACAGCCTCACACACAAAGGCATATGTGTGCGGGTTTGTATGTTTTTCAACAAAAGCCATTCACCTCGAAGTGTGTTCTGATTTGACCACTGGGGCTTTTAAGGCGGCCTTTGCTCGATTTGTCGTCCGCTGTGGTATTCCACACAAAATCATGTCTGGCAACGGCAAAACATTTGTTGGAGCCCAGGGATCAATTCAAAGAGAATTTTCCCTCTTTCTCAACGAAGTCACTTCGGATGTGGCGGAAAAGTACGCTGTCCATGGGCTATCATGACAGTTTATACCTCCCTACGCTCCCCATATGGGTGGCCTGTGGGAAGCAGCCTTAAAAGCTTCAAGACACATTTCACCAAGGTCGCTGGGAGTCAAAAATTCACCTTTGAAGCCTTCAACACCCTCCTTGTGCGAATTGAAGCGGTTCTTAACTCGCGACCACTCTCACCTATGCCCCAGGATCCCAATGACGTATCGACGTATCGGCGTTAACTCCAGGCCACTTCTTACGCGGCGCTCCACTCCTGTCAATACCAAAACCGAATGTAGGAAACCAATCCCTAATAAATAAGTGGCACATGCTTAAAGTTCTCCACCACCAGTTCAGTTCGCGATGGAAAAACGAGTACCTGAAAGAATTACATAAAAGGCACAAATGGAAACATCCGCAAGTTACCATAAACGAGGGGGATTTAGTAGTCGTGAGGGATGATCTTTTACCTCCGAACGAATGGCGACTGGGACGCGTTGTGAAACTGCATCCGGGTCCCGACCAGAACGTTCGTGTAGCAGAAGTTCAAACTCAGGCAGGGACAATCACGCGCAATATTAGGAAATTATGCCTACTACCCCCTATGTAGCTTTGGGGTATCGTTACCCTGTCCAAAATCATTTTATACTCTTACTATTATGTGTTCAACTCATCTCACCAACTCATATGTTTATAAACGTACCCTTAAACTAGGCGCAAACCCACGAGTCTAATACCACTTACGATTTTTCTCTGCAGATCATCCAAGGAAACGATTGAGCTCAACAAGCGTCGTCTCTGCTGCCGCGTCCACTCCTCGCGGTACTGTCATGCCTTCAAGGCTATGACTCCGGCTGAAAGATATGAGTCTGCGCGCGTACATAAGTACTGCGTAAACTGTTTGGCGACATCCCATGTTACGGGCGCCTGTCACTCACCTGCCAGCTGCCATCGCTGCGGAAAAGCCCACCACACGCTGTTGCATCGAGCATCATTCTCATCGCCAGGTCGTAGTCGGCGAGAAGTGAATCGGAAGAAAACCGTGGCTAGTCGACGGGCGATTCGAAAGCCGAAGGGCAGAGTGCAGAGTCGGACTTCTACCCAGCAACGCATACGGGAGTTGTTCAAGCGGGCTATGCTTACGCTCCAAAGTCTACAACAGCTGCTACGTATTCCAGCGTACCAGGCCGGCCGCCATGTCGGAGACGTGAGCGCAGATCTCACCGATCGTTAAATACTTTTGTTCTTCATGCAATGGTTCTTAAACCATGTATATGAAAACTTTGGAATGTAAACCCATTGTAACTTTAGAAATTTGAACTTACTCATTGTAACTTAATCTATTGTAACCTAATGGTTTTTGCTTATTATATACTGCGGTACGGGGTGGCCTAAGGCGGGTGTGCAAGAGTATTTTTCATTCGCTTGTGTATTCATTCACATCTTGTGTATTCTGTTAATTAACTTTGCACACCACTACTTCAGGCTAGCTCTGAACAAGGCGATTATTGCTTAACGGTTGACGGGTGAGTCAAAGAAATATTTTTCTTCATTCGTTCCTCGTACCCAAAGTTGTAACCATGTACATATCCTTTATTTTATGTCGTCTGCTTTCCTGAAGTATGTACTACATTAATGTTATTTGCTCCAATTACTGTGCCTACTGAGAAACTCTGTGGGACAAGAGAGGCTACGTAGGTTGGATATTCTGCCTATTGAAAATTCTGTGGCTCTATCTTTAAACTTTGATGATGTTATAGATTCTTTTGCGGAACAGAAAGCTCGGAGAAAAGAATTTTATTAATAAATTTTAAGATTTTGTCCAAAATTTCATAAAATTCCCCGCCTATATATATCTCCTTATTTACAAACAAAGAAAGTTATGTCTTTTGATACATTGCTGGTCTTTCCGTTTATTTTATTAATATGGATGTATGTATTCATAAACCAAATCAAACGTTTACAAAGTTAGTTAACAAATAAAGAATACAAAATGTACATATAATATTTACATACATACAGTGGTCGAAAAAACTTAAGTTGACCCAAATTTTGACCAGTTTTCACAATCATTGTTTTTTGTTTGTTATTTAGTTTGAGCTAGTTTTTTAATATGGTTCATTCTTTAACAAAACCTATATAAATCGTGGCTCTATCTTTAAACTTTGATGATGTTATAGATTCTTTTGCGGAACAGAAAGCTCGGAGAAAAGAATTTTATGAATAAATATATTAACAAAATTAATTTGTTATTTCATTATAAATATGTATAAACCTATGCTGTAGAAAATAAGATTTATTAGATATTCGAATAAAAAGCACAAATTATTGTTAATATTGTTGGATAACTACTTAAGTGGCTTATTAACCCTAGAGTACTAATGTTCGTCGATTCGACGACGAGGTACTACTTTCATTTTACTCATATTTTCTTTACTGCGTGGTATAACTGCCGGAGGCCGCTGTGGTGTAGCCCTCCTGGTTCAAGCAACATCGCAAAAAATGTAGAGAAAAAAAGTTTTTTCTTAACAGCGCACAGTGGTCCAATCTGCTCTAGTGGGGTAATTTAATTATTATATAAAGAACTAAGATAAATATCGGGATGAAATTTTTCACAAATTATGTTTGAATGACTAACAACTTCTGGTCCAAAAATGAGCAAGATCGAATAGAGACCACGCCTACCAACCATTTAATTAGAAAATCGTTAAATTTTTCATCAATTTCTAGTATATTTTTTAAACACTTGCGCACGGCATAAACAAAGATTATAATGCAAGTTCATATTTGTTACAAATTACTTAAATTATATTAAATTTAATAAGATAATATGAGGTACACTAGCGATCAAAAGTGAGTGCATGGTGATTTTTGTTAAATATTTACAATGTCTTTTGTTAAAAGTTCTTGTTATAGATACTTTCACACCTAAAACTTTTTTAAATATTTGGATTAAAAAGTTCAAAATTTTGATGAAAATTTGTTGAATTTTTCCAAATTCTGTATACAGTTTGAAAGTTTGACTTTGATTAAAGCATGATCCGAATTTTTATAAATACATAATTAACAAAAAATTCTAAATTGAAAAACATTGTAAATATTTAACAAAAATCATCATGCCCTCACTTTTGATCGTCAGTGTATATACTCTTTGGGATGAATTAAAAATAGAAAGTCCGCTATGTCTATACTGTATTGACACCGGATCCGAATCAGTCACCTAATCTTACTAATATTGTAAATGTGAAATTTTTTTTTGTTTGGACGTTTGGGAAATCATCACGCGGAAACTACTGAAAGGATTTGCATGAAATTTTATACGCAGATAGCTTATGGACCAGATTGGTTAATAGGCTATTTTTTTAAGAGTTGCCACCTGTTAAAAAAGTTTAATTTATTTAATATGCGGGAACGACTGAACGGATTTGTATGAAAATTTGCACAAAATAGCTTATTACCTATGTATATTGTAAAATAGGCAACTTTTCTTAAGAAAACATTTTTTTTTGAATACATATATCTGTACCGTTCAATCAAAGAGACTTCAAAAGGTTTTACTTTGAATAAAAAATAACCAGTTTCTCTTGAAAATGTTTATATTTTTATTAAGTTTCTATTAAAACGGCATCTTTGACTATATCTATGGCTAGTTAAACGTTAAAATATTGTTTGGAATCCCATGAAATGTTGCTTTAAAGGGAAAAGGGCCTATACCGGCTTAGGCTACTTTAATTGAACGGCACAGATATGCAAATAAAAAAAATCGTTTCGTTATTTATAAGAAAAAATATCAGAAAACAGCCGTTTGTTTTTATCAAAAAAAGTATCAAAAAAATTTCTTTTCGTTGATCATCAAAAAAATATATCTTTTCATTTGAGACAACATCTTGTGTGTTGTGAATTTGACAACTAGTGTATGAAACCGTTCAGAAGACGCGTTACGATCACGGATTTTTTTTTAGCAACGGTTGCGCTCAACTGCTGCGCCTTCTGAACCTACCCATTGTAGTTCTCAAGAAATATCACGAGATATATTTTTCATTATGCACAACTGCTTTTTCATTTACGATACCTTGCGCATGCGTTTAGAATAATACGTAAGTTGGCAAATCGTAAAATTTCTAGCCTTCTTAGAAACAGAGGATACTGGCTTTACAAAGTGTCGAATCCCACACTTTTGTCTAATGACAATATTTTTTACAACAGTTTCTTTGCACTCCTGAAAAGTGCCGATTTTCACATTCGATAGTTTGACATGGTAGCGACGAGATGTACGAGCATTTTTTCTTAAGAGCTGCATACTGATTTAAGAATTTTTTTATAAAAGCAAATTTATTTTCCTTTACAAATAAAAAAATTTCGGAATATCAACATATGTACATACATACGCAGCCATATAACGAATTTTTATTTGAAAACTTTTTTTTTTGATAACACTGTGCGACAGCTCAAATCGGTATTTAGTAAAACCAAAGGCAAGTGATAGTTTTTGAATTTCATTGAGTTTTTTTTAAATAAATACTAAAATTAGTCGCGATGCGTTATATACATACATAAGTATGTACATACATATGTATCTGGACTCACAAATCGGATTTTACGATTATAGTTGTCTGCATAACCTATTGGCGAAATAAAAACTTTATCCGATTTTTTTAAATCGAAACTATATTTTTACATACATATATACATATATATATTTAATATGAAGTTAGAATTTTCACATCAATTTGCGCAATCTTCAAACCCATGGTTTCAATTGTTCGCATTTCGTCAGGGTTTTCCCCACAACTTGGTTTTGTTGCAGTGAAGCGACAGAGCAAGTGACGTGAAAAAAATATATGCGGACACTTACATATGTATCTATGCACATACATATCTATGCACATATGTACATATCTATGCACATACAGAAAATAAATGTATGAGTGCCGCAGCTAGCCGCAGAATTTTTTTGAGGATTTTATAAGTATATACAGTATATTTTGCTTAGCTGCACATCCTTCTTTGCACGAAAAACTTGTGCACCTAACCGAAAAAGGCACTTAAGCGAATTTTCTTTACTACTTCAATGAGGAAGGTATCCGAATCCCTATGAAACCCAATAATGGAGAAGCACTTATCACGTAGAAAATAATGCAAGCGAAATTTTTTTCGAATGGTATCTAAATGGTACATAAATTGATAGCCATTTTCGTTGTTCTGCGATATGAGCAAAATAAATAAATGCTTGTAAAATTAGGTAATTGTAGGGCCAGTGCAGGTAAACGTAATACTTTCTTTGATAATTGATACTAGTTGGACAATTTTTAAGGCAGGTATCGCCAATGGGCAGGTATGTTGAATGCATCTATCGGAGCACTTTCCTTATAAATGTTAAAAATAATGTCTCAGATGCGCATTTTGGGGTAGGTATCTTAAATGTGCACTTAAGCATAAAGGCAGCAAAGCAAAATATACTGTACATCAATTGAGAGAATAAGTATAGTAAGTGATCTATATTTCGCCATGTAAGAAAGATTTCGTCTACAAAAAAAAAAATCATAATAGTTTGGTACTCACCAAAAAGATTAAAACTTTATCAGCCCCAAAAAATATGTGCGTCCACTTCGGTAATAATTTTCACATTTCCTGAATTTTCTTACTTAAAACAATGACGGAGAAAGAAATGAAGTTAAAACAAAGTTTCTTTAAACAGGTTTTGAGCGTTAACAATACTCAGTTTTCGATGCACGCACAATTTCATTTTTCACTTATTGCTTACTATGACTTTTGGATACCGTTATGTTTATATGTAGCCAAATTTTTTCAAAGTTTTATTTACTCTTAAGTAGAAAATTTCTTGCATATTTGATAGAAAAATGACAAACAAAAAATTTAATTAAATTACCCTAGCTTTGCACATTGGACCACTGTTAAGGCCTCCACCCCAAACGCAAAATAATGCAATGTGTGTACCACCCTAATGTTCATTTATGCACATACGTACGTACACATGTACGTATACATTTGCATGTACCCTGTGGGGACCCAGTACTGGTTCGCGATAAATCTCTTTTGCAAGCAAGCAACTGGCGAATTTAACATGGCGATGTCCTAGGAAGTGTCAATTGCCCCCCGCTGTATCCCTTTTTCGATAGTTCCGAACTAGTCCTAAATTCTATAGTTTCGAACCAGTTCTAAAATCGACAGACGGAAGAAAAAAGTATCATGATTTTTCAATCTTTTTGGTTCTTCCGTGTGTGTGATTTTAAGTTATTTTGGAAGAAATGTGTTTTCAAGTTGAAATTAAATTTGTTTGAATGATTGTAAGAAATGTACGTTTACATACCTTTTGCTGTAGCTGAGTTTGCAGAGGTGCTCGCTGTTATTTCTTAGATTCCAGACTGTCCCAAGATGTTGAAATGTTAACACAAATTTTAGTTTTGTATTACCAAGCTATGAAAAAGCATCTGCGAAGCACAGAATAGAAGCGTATTTGAACGAAAAAGCCGTCGAACACATATCTATGCAAAGTAAACAAGCCCCCCGCTGCATCCCTTATTCGATAGTTCCGAAGTAGTTCTAAATTCGACAAATAAGATCTAGTTCGTTCTGCATCCCTTTTTCTATAGTTCCGAACCATTTCTAAATTCGTCACTTTAGATATAGATTTCTAGTTAAAAAAAAACTGAAAAAATTAGTTTTTTAAAAGTACCACTTTTCGACGATTTTGGACTGGTGGGGATCTAGTTCCTATCGGACTAGCTCCTTTTTGGCGATAAAGGCCTAGTACGGAACTAGAAATTTGATTCACTAGTCCGCGGTTTTCCTGCAGGGTATTAATAACCCACAATGTTGGCCGTTAGTAATACTTCCCGCCAAATTATCTTTGCAGCGGTCGCCCCTCGGCAGGCA